CTACGATTACGCTCTTTTTCGTTTAGCATTTTTACTGCATACCGAGCGTTTCGACCGTTCGTTCGTCTAATAGAAAAAGAATGATAAGTTTTATTATTTATTTCGATAAAGATCGAGTTTAATTAGTTTGCAATCTTTAATAAATTAAAACTTGATTAATATATAAATAATAAAACGGCATTTACAAATAAATCGGCAAGCGTCCGTTAAAATATAAATTTCTTTTATCTATTCTTTAGCTATAATAAATATTCGAGCTTATAAATATAATTATAAGCTAATACGATTATAAAGTGTTCTATCGTTTTATATAATAAATTTTTAATTAAATGCTTTTATTTTTAATATTTATTAGATTATATTAATTTTATTTATCGCATAGCAGCAGCCGAAAAAAAAAGCTGTAAAGATTATATTTAAATTAAGATTTCTATAAGCACCTTATCTTAGTATATTAATTAAACCTTAATAAATTTAAGTAAGTACTTATTATAACGACCTTAAGCGATTATTTAAAGAATTTATAAAAAAGCGAAAGGATTATATAAAGCTTAAAAAGATTATAAAATTATTATTTGAATTTGAAATTAATAATTATCGAAAGTAAAAGTTGAAAAAAACTAAATATTAAATTCTTTTTAAGCGATTAAAAAATATATTCGTAACTTCGTAACGGTCGTTAAAGTACTTGCAATTATAAAACACTCGGTTATAAAAGTATTTGAATTTTAATTGCTTTTTAAGATTTAAAAAAGCTGATTTTTTTTATATGATTAAAAGGAATCACGCGTATTAACTAACTAATAAGTTTATTAGTTAAGTTAAAAGTCTTTTGATTGATGTAATATGTTGAGCGAAGCATGTTAAGTGGCCCGTGAACTCCTTTAAATACTATTAGCTAGCTAAGGTCGATATAGATATACCGATATTAAGGTTTATATATAAGAAGGTTGTTCGTAATAGTCAACTTAAGTAAAAAGAGCTTAAAAGCGTTAAAAAATATAATTATAATTAAGCTTTAATAAAAAGGAAATAAAAAGAAATGAAAAAATAAAAAAAAACCGCTAGTTAAAACTTAACGCTCGCAAGAATGCTGCTTAAAAAGAATTAAGCGTAAGCAAAACCCTTTTTAAAAATAAACTAATTTAATAAAATATATTTAAATTATAAAATAATGTTATACAATATTTAAGTATATAAGACGTTGATATATAAATTTAAATCAATAGTTTAATAGCAAATTCGCTAAAATTTAAATATATCTTTTTAAGCTATTAATTCGTTTTTATCTTAAATTACTTCAATTATTTACGAAGATATCGATTCATTTCAAAGTCAAAAGTTCGAAAGCTTTATAATTAGTTTCTTTAGCTTAGTACTATTAGCAATTATTAAATGTTTTAATTAATATTATATTTAAAACGTTAAAGAGATTAAGACTTTTAATACTTAATAGTTATAGACTTTATAATATTTTTAATAATAAAAAGCTAATTAAAATCTTTTGCGAATCGATTAGAATAAAAAGAAAACTTCTTTTATATAAATTAGATTCGTTTAAGCAGCTAAGAAATCAATAAGAGAGCTTATAATATGCTATAAAAAGTGCGATCGAGCTTTAAAGCATCCGAAGCTAAAAGCTTTTAGAACGAAAGCATTAGCCGATCATTAGAAAACGAACGTTTGCAAACGCGACGGCGTCGTAAGTAAGCTAAAACAAAAGCTTCGGCAAACTTAATTAAGATTTAAATTTCTTTAACGCAATTTAATACGTTTGTTTTTATTTATAAATTCGGTTAATAAATATAGTAAATCTAATTAGTAAATCTGATTAGTAAATTTAATTAGTAAATCTAATTAGTAAATCTGATTAATAAATTTAATTAGTAAATTTAATTAATAAATCTGATTAATAAATCGGATTAGTAAATCTGATTAATAAATAATAAAACTAATATTAAATAAACACATCTATTACGAAGAACGCTTTCGCATTAAGACTTAAAATCAATATTTCGAAAAGGTATTTTAAATATTATATTATTTACGCGAAGCTCGTTTCGAATAATTAATAACTCGGATTAGAAATCTTTTTGCGAATTATAAAACTTATATCTTAAGCTTTTTAATGCTTTAATTATTAAGCGAGACTTCGACGATAAGATTTTCGAAATTAATCGTTATTTATTAGACAATTTACTAGCTAATTAAAAACTCAGCATTTCATTAGACTATTAGTCTAGCATTAAGCGCTATTCTTTTATATATATAATCGGAATTGCAATTATAAAAGATTAGCATATAATTCAGCTTATATTTAAATTTATATACGTTAAGTTTAATTATATAAAAAAAGAATCAATAAGAATTATTTACGAACGCTTTATTAAATTAAGCTTAATAGAAAAGATAATCGCGATTATAACGGATAACGTATCTTCGAATAATATAATAATAAAAGAGTTATTTAAATGCGTCGAAGATGCGTTTAAAAAAAAGCTTTTTATAAGTTAAGGAATTCTATACGTTTCGTATATAATTTACGTCTTGCAATTATCTTTTAAAGCGTTGCTCGGACCGCGATTATCGTTAACGAACGAAAGCTTAGAAAAGCATTAAAAAGAAAATTCTAATATAAACGAGCTAAAAAAAGCAAAAAGACGCGATAAACGAAAGATTGCATATATATTTGCGATTATAAGTTTTTTTTTTAAAAAAAATATTTATTAATTATATTTATTAATTATTAATTAACGTACTTAAGTTCGGAAGTTTATTAAGTGTGTTACGGCTAGCTAACTTCGAAAATCGCGATTTAATAAAACGATAAAAGCTTTTATCGACGATTTAAAATATCTTTTAACGAAAAGCTTAAAGCTTGTTTTAAATATTATTATAAGATAAGATTTTACATTTTATATGCTTAATCGATTTATAACTCTTAAAGATATTATTTAAAAATATTATATAAAGATCGATAAGATAAGTATTTTTAAATTATTTAATACTTAATAAAAGTAAATCTTATTGTCACCTACGGTGACCCAAGATAAATTCCAGTAGTTGTGGTAGTGGTTAGTCATCCAGTCACGTAAGACTATTCTATACGGATCTAGCAAGATTTCTGAGCGTGCCAAGACTTTTATTCTATGTTAATCTATTGAACTTTTTTCGGAACGAGTCGGCCCGTTTAATTCATGTACAACAGCTAAGCCTAATTCAGCCACCGCCATTAATTCTGCTATACGTAACGCACGTAAGGCTGCCACACGTAAGGCAGCTAGGCTGCCACCCGTAACCTACGTAAGGCTGCTATACGTAAAGCACTGTAGAAGCACCCAAAAAGATGTGCCGTATAGAAGCCTGGCTCTGAGGCTAGACCTTATGGTCTTATAAAGGAAGTGCTAAAAAAGATAGGTAGAAAGCTCGTTGATTGTTTTAGTTAAAAGATGTATGCTTTCTTATAGAAGATAGGTCCGTTTAATGTGGCTTTAGTGGCTATGGCAGGTACCTTATTAAGCAGGGTGTTTACATCCGTCTTTTTATAAAATAGGCAAGCGCCCCCGCTTATTATTAAGCAAAAAAAAAAAAAGGAGTATAAAAGAAAAAAAAAATCTAATGTATAAAAAAAAAGGGGGGGGTATTTTGTTTTTAAACTCTAAACATCTAAACTATTAAACTACGCTTCGGCAGCTTTTTTATAGTCTCTTTTTATGCTTACGTCTTTAACTTCTTCGTTCTCTTTAAGCTAAGAAGGTCTTCTTCTTTTGGCCGGACTAGTATTAAACGATGACGTACTAATAATAGCATCTTTAAGAGTAAAGGAGCGCGTGTCGTTCTTGCGTTTATTGCCGGTAGTATCGTTAATAAGTGTGAACTTGGCCGACGGAAGGTTAACAAAGCTAGAATAAAGTTTAAAGCTATTAATTAAGTCGTCTTCGTTTTCGAGCAAGTCATTTAAAGCTTTTATAGCTTTATCGAATGCGCGGTTTAAGGATTCCGGTTAAAAAGATAATGCTTTAAGATCGTCGATTTAGCTCGTAAACCGTAGTTTACGAGTAGATTTCGTACTTTTTAAATTAATCTTTATACTTAAATCGGAGTCGTTAAAAGACAACTCAATCGGTCGCAAGCTTTTTTTAAAATCTTTTAACTTGTTAGCGTTTATAAAGTCGTTAGCTCGGCGGCTCTTGCTTTTAAAAAAAGATTTAGCTCCGTAAGTCTTAGCTTTAGCATTTAAGATTATAGCAAATCTTTTTTTAAATGCTAAAAACAACTTCTTTTTATATTTAATAAAGTGTTCTTAGAATTAAGTCCGGGATATAGTAAAGATAGCAGTTAATTCTTTTATTACTCGAGGTTCGTCTTAATTTATTTTTTCGATTAAAGCTTTCGATACGTAATTAACGTAGTTTAATTAAATTGTAGCGGCGAAAAGCTAGCTTGATTTATTAATAACTTTTTATCGAAAGGTTAGCGGCATACGTCTTAAGACGATCGTATAAGCGTGCTTTATAAAATTGACTTTATTTTCTAAAGTATTATCGTTTAGCAAAGCGGTATAGTTATTAAAGAAGATTGCTTATCCGTAAAAAGAATTTTAAAAAGCGTTTATGTTTAAGAAAACACTTTGTTTTATAATAACGTGTAATGCTTACTAGCACTAAGATCAGGAGGAGATTCTGTGGATTGAATGAAGCTTGATATATTCTATTTAAGAAGCTCGTCAGGATTTATGTACATGTACTTAAGAGCTCTAGTGTGCTAAAGGCGCTACTAAGCGAGGTCACATGACATGTTACATGTAGCTTAGGTAGAACTATGCTTGTTCCGCATAACACACTCTTTAAGTCAGCAGCGTAGCTGCTAAGCTGCAAGCAAACAGAAAAGAAAAAAATAAGTGATTAAGCTTTTTAAACTCGATGTAAACAAAAGAGATTATCATCGCAGTTTAAACAAACAAATAGCGGTTGTTATTATTGATTAAGTGTTAATCAAGAATGCAATTCTTTTTCAAGTCGGTCTTATTACGTGGCGGAGGTCTTTAGCGCCGTCTTTGTCGCGTTGCTATATAAGTAAGAGCGCGTTCTTTTTTATTATAACAAACACTTAACCTTTATTTATTTATAAAATGCTATCTAAGTAAGTAACTCAATCTAATAGAATCGTTAAGCGCGGCCGAGGCCGTTTAAGAGTAAGTGCTCTTGATAGATTAATATATTTATGCTGACTATTAAGAGAATCTCTTTTTTGCCTTAGCTATTGCTGCTGTTATAGCTGCGGCGGCTGCGGCGGCTATACTACGCACTCTTACCTCCGAAGCTTCGCTCTTTTCTTTAGACCCTCTTATTAAGCGCTTGCTTATGCTAACGATCGTCAAGGCTTTAAGGTGTATTAAGTGCATCAATAGTAAGATCACATCGAGGTCTAATAAAGACTGTTATAATTGCGATACGAGCGTTATACGCTGTCTCCGGTGTGCTAAAGGTAGCTATAGCAATTGTACCGCTGCTTTTGCCGCTATTAACACCGCTTTCGATAACTTCGTAAGCGCTAAGGATAGTGGTGCTATACAAAGAGTTCGCCGAGGTCTTCGAAATGCTGTGCGATAATAGCTCGCTTTAGATGCTGCCCTTTTAAGAGGTGCTGCTAATGGTCCGGGCGGTCTAGCGAGTGGAAGTAGAGGTTTTAGAAGTAATCCCGGTAGCTTTGCAGGTTTTGCTCTTGCTTTTAAGACTTTTAATTTGAATGTGGCTTTTGTTAGATTGAATGGTCTTGTAGCAGCAAACCGTAGTCCGGTGACGCGGAGCGCTTCGAGCATATTACCTTTTCGTAAGTTAAGCTCTTTGACTTCCGAAATAATCTAATCTAAGCAGCTCTTTTTGACTAGAACTTTTTTTCGGACTTTATGCAGAGGCTCTAATTTGCTGCTATAGCAGCTTTTGCGCTTGCCGCTCTTGTTGCTTTCGTCGCTTTCGTTGCTCTCGTCGCTCTCGCAGCTCTCGTCGTTCTCGTCGCACTTATTGTCGTCGCCCCTTTTGCGCTAGTCGTTGCGCCTGCCGCTCTCGCGGCGGCGCCCGCCGTTGCTATGACTCTTGCGGAGCGCCGAGCTAAAGTGAAAAGATTGCTAAGAGCTCTAGTAGATCTTTTGTTATAAGAAGCGAAAAGTAAAAGCGTGTAAGATAAGATAGAATGACGGTTAGGATTGCTAAATAGATGTTTTCTTTTGAATCACGTATAAATAAAAAAAATGAAATGTAATAAGTGAATAGCATATGCGTGCTATTAAAGCTTTTCGACTAACGCGCGAGCGTCTTGTAAATTTAAGAGCTTAATAAAGCTCTTAAACTTTTGTCGAGTCAGGTTCTTTATAAGACCGTTAGCGTGCATCTTTTTAGTAAAAAGATATTAAACTTAAAAGCTTCCTTTTAAATGCTCTTAGCGCAGCTATATATTATGAATATCGACGTAGCGAAGCTTAATAGAGATACGCTTCTTTTCACTAGCTATAAGCTTGATTGTTTGTTGATTATTATAATAGACTATTTAAAGCGTTGTAAAACGAAGGTGCAGCTCTTTAAAAAATCGTTAGAGCGCTATAGTCTCTTTTATTATGAAGGCCATGCTAAAGAGCTCCGTTTTAATAGATGATGTGGTGATTGTATCTTGCTTTAAAGCTTTCTAAAAGATCGCACTTTTAAATAAAAACATAATGTATCTTTGAGAAGATCGCTTTATTTTTTTGTTATCGGCGTAAGAAGCGTTAAAGGCTATTACTAGCTTTGATTTGCTAAACTGGCTGTATTAAATACTTTTAAAGCGCGAGCCAAATAGATATCGCAGACACTAGTTTATAGCTCGAAGGTGCTCCGCGCTTGGATTGGTGCTAAAGTAAGAGAGTTAAGAGGCTGCAAAAGCTATATCTAAGCGTAGCATGATCGCTATATATAATACGGATCCAACCTTTTTTTAATACTCTTTTACTTGCTTCCGCGAAGCTATCCTTTTATTTTTGATTAAGTTATAGAACGGTAATAGAGTTGCTAAGCAGCGTCCGTTCGTAAGTTCGAATTTCTTGGCCATTTTTTTAATATAAGCGTCGTGCATAAGCGTCAGCGTTCTTCGCTGATAATCTCGAGCGACTTTTACATTAAGAAACTATTCAATATCTTTTATCGCTTCGATCTCGTACGCTTTGTTAAGACCGTCAATGATCTCTTGCGCTTTAGAAAGATTAAAGTGATAGTATATAACTTGAATATCGTTTACGTAAAACGCTATGAAGACCGTTTTGTTTAGATTCGTGAAAATACACGGTTCTTCACCGAGTAAAGTAAGCTTTAATTTGTCGAGTGTGCTTGTAAAGTCGAAATACTATAGAGCTAGCGAGTCTTTAAGTCTATATAAGGCTTTATCGACTTTTACGAGCATACTTTTTTGCTTAAAACCGTTAAAGAGATAACACGTGATTAAGACGCTATCCGTATGTCTTATAGCGTTGATAAAAGCGTTGACGACGTCGAACTGTTTTACTTTTAAATCAAATTCGGCTGTTATAGTTATTATTATCTTAAACGATCTAGCTGTTAACGTAGCAACGTAAGTTGAATAGATAATAGATTCGTCTTAAAGGTCGCTTTTAATTACAATCTTCGATTTAAACTTTACGATTTCTTCGGACGAGCTAGTCTTGTATATAAACACTTACTTAAGAAGTATAAGTTTTGACTTAGCTTCGCTCTCGGGAATCATTCTCTAGCAGTTCTTCTTCTTTAGATTATTCAGCTTTATAAGAGCTCCGTCCTTGAACTCTTTGCCGTATAAGTGTCGTTGTAGCTCTTTTTAATAAGTAAAAGGTTTTAGATGTTTTCGTTCTTGCGAGTTAAGCTGTTTTAGTAACAGCTTAAACGAAGTAGCAGCTGCTATAATAGCGTGCAATGTCTCGTAATCTTTGCTATCTTCGCGCACGAGTTCGCTATTAGCTTAAAAAGTCGATACAAAATCTAAGACGCGCGAATAACGGTTCGAATTAGCGCGAAAGTTGTTTAAGAGAAGCTTATTAACACTTGCGTATATCTTCGCGCGTTTTTTAGTGCAGCTATTAATAAGTGAGTGCTCTTTATTAAAGTCGGAATTTTGTTTAAAGTGTTTATAGTCTAATTTCTTATTATTAGTGTTCGCTTTAAAAGGGTTTAAAAGCTTTTCTTTGATTGTTCGGTTTGAATCTCCGCCGGTTATTAACGTAAAAGCTCTCGTTGGTCGGCCTGTAGCTTAGCCTTCCGGGCTTCGGCTTTAAATAACAACTTGAAGGTATGATTTGCGCGCTCTTTTATTAAGGCCAGGTTTTTGCTCGTCTACGGTACTCTTCTTTGCTTTTAGCAGTCTTAAGGCACTTTCGCCTTTGCTCTTAGCTAAAGAGCTAGCGAAACGTTTAGCGGTGTAGCTTGAATTGTCAAGGTCTATTGGATCGTTTCGTAAAGCAGTTGCCTTTGATATAAACGTATCTATAAAGTCTTTAATTAAAGTTAAAGCTCTTGACGTTTATGCATCGCTCGGATTAGATAAGGTCGCATTCTTTAAGCTTTGATTAGATCTTTTTAAATCAACCTTTATAAAGTCTGACGGCTGCTCACTCTTTATATTAGCTGTATTCGTCTCTTTTAAGCGATCTTTTGCAACGTTCTTTATATTAAATAAAGCGTCTTTTATTTGACTAGAGTCTTTAATATCTTTTAATTTAATAACGATGCTTTTGATCTCGCTAATCGGTTGGCTAACCGATTTTTCTTCGTCTTTAAAATAGAATTAAGTCTTATCGAACGTTACGTTGCGTATGATAATCATTTTATAAAGCATAAGAACATAGACTTTGTATATGTTAAAAGCTATATATCCAATCAAGTAGCTTATATGTCTTTTCGGTTTAACCTTAAAAGCTTTCTTGTTGCGAAAAGCTTCTCGGTCCTTGATTATTAAGTACGCACGAGCGTTATACGCAACCAAACCGTTACAATTTAGTTTTAAGTCGGTGTCGATCCGTATAAAGATCGCCGGATCGTACTACTTAAAATATTGCTTGAACTAAAGCTGTAGCACTTCATTCGGACTCTTCATAAAGCTTTTCGCTTTCGGTGTTATATTATAAAGGTAGATAGCGGTTAATATAGTCTTAGGCTAGAGCTTCTCTGGGAGCCTTGCTCTTATTCTTATTTTGATAGACCGTTCTATTACTTCTTTTTTAGCCCTCTCAGCTCTTTTATTAAGTTCGTGATTAAAAGATAGTAAGAGCTCTAACTCGATCTTAACCTCTTTCGTTTATCTTTAATATTCGGTAAAGCCGATTACGTTGATTGCGATTACCGAAGAATCGTTATTATAGCGCATAACAGCTATTAAAAGACCGTATTTGCGTCTCGTTTATGCTTTAAATTCCTTTAGCACTTTCATGACCGTCAATTATAACTTGTCTTTTAATGTAAAGCCGAATAGCTTTTTATTGTATTTATCTTTAATTATTAATAACTATTTGCTCTTTTCGAAACCGTTAAAGAAGTCGAATAGATCTTAAGCGATCTTGTAGAATAGCTTAGCTGCTTTGTTGTCTAACGTGCGGCGAGATATGACTTATTAAGCGTGCGTAATAGCATATGCTTTACATTCAACCTTAATGATTCCTTTAAGTCTCACCTTTTTAGCGTTATAGGCCAGCGCTTCGAAAGCTTCTTTGCTTAAATAACTTGTCCGTAAATGCTAAAATATCGATAAATCCTTTCTTAAAGCTCGGAAGACACTGCTCTTTTAGAATTTATAGCGTGTTTGCAAGCGCTTTTAGATTATAAAGAATATTATTAAGCAAAAAGAGCTACGAATCAATTAAAGCAAAGAATAATTGAATAGCTTGTATTTAAAGAACGTAAAGTTGAACTTCCTTTTTAACTTTCTTAACACGACGCTCTCTTTAACTTTTTCGTAGCGGAGAGTTGCGTTATATCTCGAGTATTACACGCTAGCCTTGCTTAAAAAAGCTTTCGAGATAATATTAATATTAAACTCTTTAACGATAGCGACGTTCTTTAACTTTAAATCCTTTGTCCTAGCTCTATTTGGTCCGTTCAGAGCTCTTTTAAAGACTTTGGTCTTTCGCCCGACGACTAAAAGACTACTCGTTTTAGCTTCGATGAAGTCGGTTGGGCGAGAGCGTTAAATTGACTTTAGCACTAAGAGATTCTTATCGTTAACAAAATGAGTAGCGCCGCAATTATCGAGAAGAGTGCTATTAGATAGCTAGTGCTTATTATCAGCCGTGCTATAAAGACCGTTAAAGATAAGATTATCGAGCGTATTAAAGAGCTTAAGATCGATAATAGCTACTAACACTTTTTTAAAGTATTTTAATTTATCGTTATCGTTCGATTGCTTCTCTTTGCTTTTTAAAACGATCTTATCGACTTGAATTTATGCTTAACCTTCTTTCGTGATCTCTTTTCGAAGCGCTTTGAACTTAAGTTCTTAAAGCCTTTTCTTTATAGCGACGATATTATCTCGGTTCGGCTTTGCGAATCTACTTTCGTTAAGACCGTTAAAGCAATAACGAAAGATCTTGCACTTGATTACGTCTTAGTGGTAGTTTCTCTTTTTAAAGCACGAGCATTTAAAACCTTTAGCAAGTCCTTTAGAGCTATCGGAGCGTTTACCGGACTGCTTAAAAGCAGTGTCGTTAACTTTATCACCTCCGAAGGTGCTGCGAGTCGTTTGATCTTCGAAAGTAGCGAATATACTAAAGAAGTTAAAGTTCGGATTGCTAGTCTTCTCTTCGACTTGGCTTTCGTACCAGTTAAAGTAATCGTAAAGGGTGCGCTTTTAAAGCAATAACAGCTCGTCGTTTCGAATGACTTTTGCGAGCTTTAACGACGCTTAAGTTAATAATTATTTTTCGCTAATAACTTCTAAGAATGCTTTTATCGCGAGTGTACTTGTCGTCTCGTAAAGGTTGTTTATCTTCGCTAACTTGTAGATAGCTCGGTGTTCTTTGATCTATATCGCTAAGAAAACGCTCTTTTGCTTAGTTGCTTGCAAGGATTTGTTATAGTCTCGTGCTATCGATAGCTTAAAGCTCGAGTCGGATAGACGGTATATTTCTTAAAGCTTTTTTATTAA